TAAGTGAAAGAGACCACTTCCCTTAGATTACTCCAGTTGACGGTAATTAGCGCCTTTTGGAGTTAATGTAAATGTATAGTTCTGCCTTCGTTCCTTTATCTGGCACCTCGTTGGTTTCCCTTCGTAAGTCTTAGAGTCATTGAGACACAAGATAAAATGCATCTGCAGAGTCCACTCTTTTAGGGTCCTTTTGTCAGTCCATCACATGCCCAGCCTGCAAAATGATCCAGAATACAACAATTAGCAAGATCAACGGTGATAACTGGCAGCCTTCTCTTCACTTCAGAGGCTTGTCTGAGGTTTCCGTTGTGAATCACTTGGAATGTGGCATCATCATGTAACTGTTGAATGAAGTTTAAACGGATTTGTGGTACTGCACACCGTAATGTTGAAACACTTGCCAAATTACTTCATAATGGACGCTGTCGAAGACCCTTTTAAAGTCTACGACATAATAGTTAGGAGTCTACTGCCATCCTAAACTCTGTTCGATGATAATGCGTAGTGTCTCACGCAACTTGTTTTTCTCTATTGAAGTTTGTCCCAAAGAGAGTTTTCCACCTAAATCGTCCTTTAGTTCTCAAAAATGATCCCGTCTAATTTCTTGCTTGGAGTGTATAGGAGCATGGTTCCGAGCTGGTTTTTGCATAGACTTAAGTGGAGCCTCTTTGGTAGTTGGACAAAGTTACCATTCTTCTAGTCTTCAGATAGCTTCCCCTACTTTCAAGCCTTGTGCATAAGTGGCGTTAGTATATCCGCTGAAGTCTTCCTTCATCTGATCATGATGCTTTCCAGGTTTCCAGTGTCTATATGTCTTTCAAGACTTCTAATTTTGTTGTAGGGTTGTTGTTCACTAGCAGTTCTGGGACTACTGGTGGTATTTTTGGACAAGTTACGGGTCGTGGTCAATTCAAGAATACTTTGAAGTCATCAGCAATTCATTTCCATTATTTCACTTCTTTTAAGATTGGCTTCCCTCCACTAACTTTCACTGAGTGTATGTGTGTTGACCTCTTCCTGACCAGGTTATTTGATACGGTACTCTTCAGTGAACTGCAGATTGTACTCAGCTTCTCTTTTGGTTGTTCGTCTCTGCACTAGTTCACCTTCTGCTTCACCATGCATTTCTCCTCTGATAGGTTACAGGTGTCTAGAGGGAGTTATCCCTTTTGTTACCTCTTCTTCTTGTTTAGGATTTCCATACAAGTTTCCTTCTGCAATCTCTTCAGCAGGTTTAAATATTTTTCCACACAGTTTCCTTCTTGGTGTTGACTACATTGTGTGACGTTTTTGCTGATGAATGAAGTAGGGGTGTCATTTGTAGCTTCGTCTTTTAGGTTTTATGTGATGGACTTAAATCGTTGTCTACCTTTCTCCAGCTTCTTTAGAGGATTTCAGATTGATCTTGAAGGTTTCCTGCACTAGATAGTCCTTTGAGCCTAGATACGCTCCTCTTCTCAACTTTGCATCCAGTAGGCTGCTGCATCTCCACTTCTTTGAAATCAAATGAAGTCTATCTGGTTTTTGGTGTGTCCCTCTGAGGAAGCCGATACCGCCTTGTGTATAACCTTGTGGTTCTCTTTCTTTGTTGTCTGCTCCCACTTTGGCTGGCCTTGTCCATTACTGTTTACAATAGTCTGTGGAGGTTTGATCTGCGTTGATTGTAGCATTGTACAATTGCAAATTCCCTTGGTTTTGAGTCGATACCGGAGGAGAATGATTCCCACTGAATGAAAGTCTTCGACGCTGTTGGTGACATCACTATAGCAACATCCTCTTCTATCGTGCATGTGATTGTCTTCTGGATAGACTGAATGAAGCCTTTGTAAAGACTAAAAGCAGCAGTGGATAGAAGAAGGAGCCGTCAATGGTATTCAGAATATTGCCAGGGGAACAGATACTATGAAAAAATTTTGAAATGAGAAAATAAAAACCCAACTGGGGCGGTTCACTTACTCATCAATCTGCCACATTCTGAATGGCTTATCGACACTTATCCCCTTTACTGTAGCATTAAATGTGTTAGCTTCCACAAATTGATAAACTTCAGTGTCTGCGCCTAATCCTTAAAGTTTGTCTTTAAGAATACTTAGTTAAAGTGGCTTGGGATAAGAGATATTTTCACAGATTGAATTCAATGATCTCTTGCCTCAAACTGCTGGAAGGATTAGAAACCATCTTGTGAAAAAAATATACAGTCAATGTGACTATTTTTATTATTTTTATTTTATTTTTATTTTTATTACAGCTTGATGCCACACCGTATTTTCAGTACAAGTATGGCATTTTCAGCATGGATATCGGTAGCCCAAATTTTGCAGGCCGACCATAGATATCGGGTGTGCGTCGGCAGGGGATCGAACCCTGGACCATGTGCATTGTCGGCAAGAGTCCTAACCACTGTGCCACCGACTAGTATTTCTGACGTAAATGAAGCTTAAATTCATTAGGTATCATACGGTGTATATTCACAACTAGGACTTCGTGACTTAACTACTAAGCCATTTATGTTTTAGAATTGGGTCTGGATTTTGGCAGCAATAAAAAATACTGCAATCAAGCTTAGTACCACTAAAAATGACAGCGTTCGCGGCACTGAAAGTTTGAGGGTTAATACAAACACAACTATTCCACCATCCAGGAGGTATATATATATATAAATCAGTTGACAAAATCATCAGAAAAAACATTTTTTGCTGCCACCCTACGAATACCCTACTCTAGCCGTCCACTGGTGCACCTTAATGCTAAGGAAATGCTACCTCAGTTGTTAACTTTCACGTGTGCTTATATGCTCATCTGCTGTTGTGCAGCTATGGTAATAGGATGTTTATCAAGAGAAATTTCCTGCCGCGTTCGAGGGCATCTCCCAGCTTGGTTGAGGAGAGGACAGTGCAAAGCCATTCATTCATCTATATTGCAATATATAGTAGGTAATGACCAAGTAGCAATTGATGTAACCTTTAATATAGTTTACAAAGTCAGACAAAGTTTGCTGAAACGGATACTTTCGTTACCATGGTTTTAATTTTATAATGTCATTCACGAAAACTTCTTTATTCTATGTTCGATTTATATTTTGTTTTATTTCACTTTACTTTATTATCACATTCTAACATTTTATTCTATTATTGACAACACTAGTCATTTTATTTTTCCATCTTATTTCATATATTGCGCACTTCACACATTCACTTTCCAAATGTCCTTCATCAGCCTATCATCCGATTTACGCATGTTCATTGAACTTTAAACTGACCTTTATTTATTTATTCATTCATATATCTAATCAATTTGTAATTCATAATCACTATCAAACTTATACACAATAAAAAAGTGGTTGTTATTGTCGATTGTAATTCATATGTAAATACGATTGTAAATCTATGACAGTAGTATCCTTGAAAAGAGAACTTTATTTACTCAAATATATATATATATATATATATAAAGATATATTACATGGTCGGAGGCAATCGGCAGGAGGCCATTAGCTGACGAGTGCCAACTGGCACGAAACCTAGGTCAAAGGCATCCCGCCGACTGTTTCTAACCATCTAATTTTTAATAATTCAAAGTGTACCGTGATGGCAAGACACCTAGAATGGTGGCCACATTGCAAACTTTATTGAAAGAACTCAGTCTACACCAAACAAAGGACTAGACACATTACGCTAGTTACAAACTAGTGTCCAATCGAAATGTGGTGGTGTGATACAGACAATATGTTCCAGCGGAATATGATTCTCACATGTTCCCACAGTTCAATACGGCATCAGCAACAGAATACTACGTATATGTGAACATTCTATTTCATGTCGTTGAATGTAAACGAAAATCACACGCTCAATGATTGGTTAACGAATATAAACTGTGTAGTAAACATGTTTAGTATCTGCATTTATATACTGAAAGAACCCATGCTAATCTCCTGTGTTCCATAATGGATAAGATTTTATTTTGATAAATCACACAGTGTAGTACAGTTATATTAACTGATGACGTTTCAAGCACAAACTATTGCTCATAATCATATCAAGTTACTCACACAACTTCTTTCCTTCATTTATATACATGTGTGGAATCGACTAGATATTGGAATAAAATTCAATATGAGATAATGTACATTCAGAAATAGTAGTACGAGTGTTATTAATCCATTGCAATTAGATGGGAAATACGACGAGTGTTTTTATAGTCATAATAAGTTGATTGTTAGAATGTGTTGATGTGTTTGAATGGAAATAGAATTTTAAGATTATTTATTATCCTCTTCTGATTTGACTGGCGGTAATAATATCTTCCATATTTCTGGTATTTGAATTGAGTCACTTCTATTGCATGTGTTGGGTGTAGACTCGATGAATAAGGATTCAGTAATTGATATGATTATGAGCAATAGTTTGTGCTTGAAACGTCATCAGTTAATATAACTGTACTACACTGTGTGATTTATCAAAATAAAATCTTATCCATTATGGAATTATACTCTACCACAGTCAGCGTCGGTGGCATAGCGGTTAGGACGCTCACCGACCGTGCACATGGTTCGGGGTTCGATCCCCGGCCGGCGCACCCCTTTACCTCGCTAAGCCAGAAATAATGCTGTTGAAGAGGAAAGGTTGGGCATGAGGCTAGCAACCCCATCCTGTAAAATAAACACTGCTACAGAAACTTCAAGCCTCTAGCTTGAAGCCCTATGTTCCACTGGGGAACGTGAAGGAAAAAATCAATCAATCACTCTACCACAGTGCCCAAGTTTTATACTTATATCAATAATCTCCTGTGTTCTTTGAGATTAATAGATCAGGCGCATTGGAGGATTATACCAATATGAGTTTCGATTTTTAAACTGTTTTCTGTAAATTTAAACTCAGACGAAATAGTGATAAACGACAAGTTATTAGGGTGCAAAAACAGGATACAGTCAACCAATATTAATCACCATTAGCATTCAGATGTAAATAAATTTAAATGTCTATGATGAATTTTCAGCTTACCTGTTCATCAGCATTAATTTTACTGAGTTTTTTGAGGCGAAATTCTCGGACAAATTCATCAAAATATTTTTTAGCTCTAACAAGTTGGAACTTCCGCTCCCTAGCTTCTGCTCGGATACGTCGTTCAACAGCTTCACTTGCTCTTTGCTTTCTAAGATGGTCTATCTGACGATCATGGCGTAATAACTGAGAAAGACGATGCTTCTGGGTTTCTTCAACATTTCTCAGCAGAGATCTTGGTTCACTGATAGTTGAAGCACGCAGCGACGACAGATCAGTGGGAAAATTGTCCGAAAACTGTTTTATCACGCTTACTGCAAGGTCACGAGGAGAAAAATGACAACAATAAGAAGAAGAATAAAAATAATGATAAAAATAATCAAACGGATATAAGCAAGGCAACGTCAGTTTCACCAAATGCACACACAAACATAAGGCAGACTTCAACTAAATCTACAGAAGTTGGAAACGTACCCTACTGGATAAAAGACTGAGAAAGCGAGCAGATGTAGTACAAGACTAAAATCTAGTGTGAGGACCCTTCAAGATAAATTTGAAAACCTTCAAAGAATGTGGAGATAGACCGCGATTCAAGTTCAACATTAAGAAAACTGAAGGATGAAACTACAAAGGACATATCCACTACAATCACCAGCAAAACATCCATGACAAGAGACATCACTGAAGAACCCTGCACAGAAGAACACTGGAAATCTCTGGAAGTGTCTTGGAAAGAAACTTGCATAGAAGTCTGAGGCAAGAGAAAGGTTCAAGATAAGAAATGCCCGAGTACAGACACGTGGACCAGACAATGATACAGGATGACGGTGAAGCTATAGTTAAGCCAGTGCATGAATGAACAACGAAACGAGAAGGTGAGTGTAAACCAAGGATTGTTAAAAAAACAGTGAAGAAGAGTGCTGGAAAAGAAATTAGACGCTTCCAAGACACACTGAAAACTACAACAGAATAGGCTGCAGGTAGGAGGGGCCTCAAAAACCGCTCAAATAACCAGGTAGCTATCTGCGAAGAGATAAACACAGATGAACCCAATGAAAGACCATGAAGGACACGCAATTAGCAAAGAGGTGGGACAGAAGAAATCCAGGACTGATTACCTTAAAGCAGGATCATAAAAACAAGACAAGCATTCATTACTCTGTTGACCTAAATCACTCAACGCAAAGAACTAGAACTGGAACCCTATGCGAGAAGCGACGGGTTGAATATCTGAACGTGACACAGAAGAGGTCATGTGAGGAGGAAATGAATGCCTATAGGGAACCGTCAAGACATCTGGAGGCGATTGGTCAGAACAGAATGCAACTGGGATGTATTGCTGAAGCCTTGTATTCCAGTTGGAACGTAAGCAACGAATAATAGTAATAAAATGACTTAAATGTGGGAAAACTTGTGTTCTCACTAGTTTGTTTGCTATACTATTCAAACAACGTGGTGGAGATAATATAATGTATGATGTATATTTACGGTTGGGACAGCTATTTCACTTACATCACAAACCAGACTCACTGACTAGATTCATGAGTATAATTTCAGAAGATTAATCAGAAGCTTTGAATTGAACTGATGGAAATAGCATAGAGTAGTTAAAGAAACATTTCCTTTGTAATATTTATCAGTCAAAAAACAGGAAAGTGACCAATGAACTACACTCAGATCTATCTAAATTAGCTTTGCGAGTCATCAGCAGTGTCAGTAGGTATAGAATGCCAAAAGTTGCCCATAACTTGGTACATAATAAGACATAGCTCAAATAAAAAATAACTTGTATGAATAAACACTATTCAATATTTCGCATTCTACCCTTGGAGGAAGACACTCTGGAGTTAACTACCTAGACTAGCTGATACAACAACTGTAAGGAATTCACCTTAACAAAGATAATAAAGACTGTTAGACTGTAAAACTTTATTCTCGCACTTTTTGAAATTTGATTTGGGCTGAATATAAGTACTCTGCTCAGCTTTTGTTATGCTTTCATTATCTGTGTGACTGTTTCTTTGTCCGTTACAAATTGGTATCGGAGGTGTTTCAACAAGAATCCTGATCCACACGAGCCTTCTGCAATACAGTCGCCACACACAAAGTCAGCACACATTTCTCAACGATAAAGAACAGTTCCCGTGTGCGAGGGCTGATACTTCTGGACATCATCAGCGACTAAGAACTCTGGGAGTTTCGCATGCAATGCATCCTCAACAGGTTTTCACCACATAACATCACCTCATAATTTCTCAGCTTGTGTTCTGCTTTAATTATCTGTGTAACTGTTGCTCTGTCCGTTACACGATTTCTACGTCTTATTCAAAATGTTACTCGATAACAACTACCCAAAAGAATTTATCAAAGATAATATAAAAAAGAGAAAAAAGAGGATAAAACCGGAGAATGACAAGACGGAGGAATGCAAAAAACAGTCACAATACCATACAAAAATGGTACATCAGAGGCAATTTGAAGAAACCTCAAAAATATTGGGATTCGCACCACATTTAAACCGACGAATCTAATTAAAAATAAAATACATCAACTGAAAAATCCCATAAAAATGATGGATAAATATGATGTGATTTACAAAATATCTTGTACCGTGTGTCCGACTATATATGTGGGTCAAACGTCCAGATCACTCAAAATAAAAGTGAATGAACATAGACATTATTATAAAGGTTTTTGTATTTCCCAATGAATGAATAACAAAACGAAATTGTTTTCACTGACGTTTCGCTATTTAATACTAATAGCTTTATCAAAGTATTATAATGAACATAAAAGCCTAACTAAAGGTCATCTAACAGGAACACAAGCTTACAACAATTTAGAAAACAAAATTCGTCTATAGCTGCGCAAGCATGAAAAAAAACCACAGCATTGATTGGGACAATGTTTGTATTCTGAAAGACTTATAACAGAATCTATGTTCATTAAAAACTATTTTTGTACAATCTCAGCGGAATTGAAATGATTAATTCCAACGTTTCGTCCAGCAATCTGGTCCTTACTTTTTCAGGGAAATTAGTTGAAATTAACATAACAGAGGTTTATATAGAAGAGGACGTCTCTTGTTTTTGAAAACATTGTCCAATCATATCAGTCATGAAACAGGTATCAACATGTATAATAAACAAAAATTGTATGAACTGCGATCAAAATATGACCTCAGACTTTCAAAAATAATAAGAACTATGTAAGGGAGTACAAATCATAAATGTGTGAATTAAAAACAAAACAATTCCAACAGTTGGTGTGATCGTTCGAAATATTACCAAAAAAAAACAGAAACTTATCACTGTGCATAAACTATTGAAATATAATCGTAATTTATTTGGATCTTCTAGGTTGTCAAGAGTAAAACATAGTGGCGTATCTAATGATGACTATGAGTAGCGAATTTCCGTGTATTCCTTTCGTTGCATCTACATTTGTCTATTACGGTAGCATTATCTATCTCTTCCCTTAATCTGTATTCATCTTAGAAGCGTCATAACTTGTACTAATTCACATTTATGCTACATTCTACGTTGAATCATCATCACTATCACATGTAAATTTTCCTAGTCAGAAAGCGGTTTCCACTAGAAATACCAGTAATTGTGAAGTAGTTTTGGTAATATCAATGTAAAAAAGAGATAAACTATTCTTAGTGAATCAGTAATAAATTTCTATTTTAACAGAAATGTAATGTTTAAAAAAAAATTAGGCTTACACGCTTTTCTTTGAAGAATGTGCTCTTCATGTCCATCTAAATCAAGTCTTGGAAATGCCTTAAGTATTCTGTTGAACGGTTGTTCAGATCGTTCTTGATTCTCTTCACAGACACTGTTTGGATGCATTACATATGGATGCTTTTTTCTACAAATAGCCAATGGTTCCACCAGAGGTTTAGCATGAGGTTTAATTACACTACTGCAGCCAGAACTGTAACCTTTAGATGTGAGGTGTTTTGCAGTAGACTACTTGCAAAAGAAAAAAGTAGTATATTTCAGTAAGCTAAATAATAAAACTGAAGGGATAAGTGTGAACAAGAAAACTCATTTAAATAACAAGAGCTATCAATAGGATGGCAGTCAGAACGTAATACGCTAGTAAAATTTTCCTATAGATCAGTAACAGGAAAACCACTATAGCTATATGGCATTCAATCGGAACGTTTGACCAAAGTTCGAACTCTTCTTCTACTAATAGCCAAAGCTATTGTAACAACAGAAGGCATGACACGGTGCCAAAGTATACTACATTATTCACACCGCTGTTTATATATGTACAGTTTACATTCTTGAACCAATGGCTGAGTGTGATTTTGGTTAACATCAAACGACATGAAATACAAAAACACCTTTAAACACTGTTCAACTTTGACTTTGCTACCGACATGCCAATATGTTGTTGTCATAATGAACTGAGATTTCCTTAATCTATGTAGAATTCTATTTATTGATAATGTACTAACTGGATGCAATACTGTAGTAAAAATGCTGAGAATTCCATTCTGTATCATAAGTACTGTTTTGGAATGAAGCAAATTATTATTATTATGATCATATATACATAGTATTTTGTTGTTAATGTAGTATATAACTGTGGGAAAAGCATTTTGTCTCTAACATCAAATAGAATGTTCAAATAGATAGATTCTATTCTATTGCTATTGTCCACTTGAATTGTGAGAATATGTGGGAACCATATTCTGTTGGAACACAGTGTGGTGGTGTGATACAGACAATGTGTATTCACACCTATAGTCACTGTGTGGTAAGGTAGTCCGTTCTACCTTTGTCCCTCTCTTGACCTAGGGGAATCAAATAAACTAAATAAAAAGCCTCACCTCTTTCAAACATGTATCGTACTTGTTATACTTATCTAAATTCTGATCTAAATAAATTACTGAAATGTTTATATACTGATGCTGTTATCAGAATTCTTTTCATTAACTGACTCAACTATTTTCATTATTTACTACCACAGACATGATTATTACCATAACTGTTATTGATTTATGCGAAGACATTAGCAGATTGTTTGGATTTACCGTGTAAGACATGCAGTTAGGCTATTCAAATACGTTAGAACAATTGTGTATCCAAATGCAAGTCGGTCAGTCATTATAATCCTGGGTTTTTTGAATGACTTAGCGATGGGTCTTATACTGTCAGTCCAAAAAGCTGCACTTATCACACAAATATACAACCAAAACAGACTTTAAATTACAACTGCGACATCCCTTTGATGATATTCATTTAAATGGAGTTTGTCAGGTTATCTGACAAAAAATATGTCAACTGTGATAAATATATCGTTTTTAAGCAAATGAACAGAGTATACCGCAAAAGATTAACAACTCTGTCTTAGTGATGATCAGTTCCTGAACTCTACATTCTTACACTTCAAGGAAAAACGTACCTAAATGAAACTACAGAAGCAGTGTTTTCAGCATTTAGAATACTGAAATACAATTGTTTAGAAACGCCACCTGTGCCTAAATTGCTTCTTTTCGAAAATTGTTAGTATAAGGTACCACTAAGTAGGTCTTAACGAGACGACCAGATCAGCCTAGAAGCTTTCCAACAGAGTGAATTAGTTAATGATATCATATTTAAATAAACCAGCGGAAAAGAAGTGAACGAACACAATGTGGTACTACATGAGACAAAAATGAGTGTGATAGAAAACAGGATAATCCAATGTTAAATTTCGGGTTGAGTTTACTTGTGTTTCTGAATCACACAGCCAAAACTGTAACGACCGCTTCTTAACACTTAGAGTTTCAATCTTGCAAACTACACTTGTCAAACGACTTAAAATCATTCAATTCATACCGGGCATTTTATTTTGTCGTCATCTTTGCGCACAGCTGAAAGAAACTACTAACTCCATGGTCGTTTTCTTTGAAACTGAAAGGCATTAATTTGTTTGTCTGTTACACTAAAAGTCATAAACCTGGTTATATTAATACAACCATTTTCAGTTCCCATATTAGTTTACTGTTCAAAAATACAAATGATGAACAATAATGAAAAGAAGCATACACCAGAACTACCTGTCCAATGGCAATTGAATCTGGCTGTAAAGTAGTATTTACCCAAAACTCAGTGTTTTTCAAACTGCTTCTGTTGTGCCGCATAATTGATAAACACTCTTTCAATTTTTCTCGTAAATACGCCAGTCTAATAGTATCACTATTCTCTGCTTTATTTGTAGACTGCAAGATATGTTCTAGATTGTCTTTTGTTTCGTTCGCAGAATCAAATCGAAAATCACTGAAGGAAATTGGCACGGAATCATATTCAGAACCCATGTTGTGGTCATTTCCAAGTTTGTACGAAACATTTCCGTGCAATTTATTTCTCTTTGAGTCATCTACGATTCTGTTTCAGAGAAAATATTAAAAGCAGAATTATATTAAAAGCGTCGATTCACGGGAGATCTCATTTATTCCACTTTCAAACAATAGTGTAACGGACTAAGACTAATAATAAACATTTTGCATAATAATGGTGAATGTTCAGCAGCAAACAAATAATTTACAAAATATATTTATAGATGTCACCCTTGAAGAAGGCGAATAATCTCTTCTTCATATGAAAATATAATATTTCACGATAACATGTTTTCATGATTGAACATGGATCTATATCAGTCAGAAAACCATTGAAAATTGGCCAGTACTGGACAGCTGTTTCGTCGTAAGTTTGGACTTAGCGGCAGGTGGAGGAGTGCCACCGACTACATCGGTAAGACTGACAGCATTCCACTGGGCACTACAAAATTTCAAAAACTACTGAATGGTAAGGATGATGAACATAAAATAGAAAAGGATTTTTAAGATATTGAAAACTATGGTATCCGGTCATATAGTGTCTCCCCGAAATCTTGAACGTCTCAAGCTTATAGGAACAAATATGAGCAGATTTTAGGGGCAACTTGAAATTTTAGAAACCACATCGGATTAAACGTACAAATTCCATCATATACGTCCGAGAATGGACTAATGATAAATAAAGATGTTATTTTACAGTTTTGAAGATTACTTCGTCGATGAAAAAATATTTTCTGAATTCCATTTCATTTGCTTCATAAGATGAAGTCGTATAAGCGGTTAGGCCGATGACTGACTGGAGTACTTACTACGAACAAAAAACCGCATCCATACAAAAACACCCGAAATAAAGCAACAGCATAAAACCACCATTCACTACAGTTCTAAATCAGTAATATGGTTAGGTAGGGTTATTCATTCTCTCTGTTTCACTTAATTATCAAGGATATTTCCGGAACAGCTCCGAAGGAAGACCATGATGATATTGTAGAAAGGATATCTGATATAGATGATATCGTCTGATTCTGCGATGAATTAAAGGCTAACCAAATCGTATTTAATCAGTTGAAGCTGTGTGTAAGTACTCCACAGTATCAAATTTGTTACTGCTGCGTCATAATAACCATCGATATTTCCTATTGGCTGACAGCAAGTCACACCTATTGTGTGAGTTCTAGCGACTCCACCTAGCTGCCAAACCATCGGTACGTGAAGTGGAGTTCATACGCATGATGAAGTGGATAGAGTTCGAGATTCTATACCAATTGATCTTAACTGAACCACTGCCGAAATGCGAGGTACTATAACCAGATTGGTAGCAACTACTTACCCTTAGAAGTAGTAGGAAACCTAGGGTTACGAGGCAGTTATGTAAGCAGCGATAAAGATGCGACCAGCAAAATACACAGTCATATATAGAAAGGTAGAGCAAGCTGTCTCATTGTGTGTCACTTGTACTACCATCACGAGTCAGTTTGACCGTCAAAAGTAAAATTAACAAAACACAGATATACTTAGCCCTACCCTACACCTGTACAATACATTTATTGGTTAGAGATGTCCAATGACGATTTATGATTCAGCACCCACTTGACAGCATACTACGAAATCAAGCGATGCATGTTCGAAATTAGAAATTTTGTGTCAGTAAGAGAGGTCATCTTGGGAAATATGTGGAAAAAATGTCTTCCAAGTGGCCTCTATACTGCAGATCTGATGCCTACTCTGTGACACGTTAAGGGAAGTAGCGGTCAACCTATGAAGTAAAGCCATGGGATGAAGCGTAGTTAGAGCCTACTGATGCATTACAACTCACTAGATGAGATCTGAGTGAACATGAGATGTAGTGAATCGATACGTTGTCCCAAGTGCATCAGGGAGAAAATCCACAGTAACCACGATTAAATACCCTTTGTCTCTTTTATGAAAGCCTTCACTTCTCTAATACTTTTCAGACTCTAATGTATGCCATCTGGTGGTTCATCTTCTATAACACGTATCCTAGCCATCTCAGTAGACTCATTCACGACACCATCGACCGACTTCCAATTTTCACCTGACAGTTTACGTATAACCTCAATATTACTCACGATATTACACTATTTAATACGGGAGATGGAAAGCAAACAGTAGTGATTTTATTCAAATCGTTCAGAAGACTCGGCACTTTGTTATTGCTTTCTCTTAGAGAGATAATATCTCCCACATACTTTAAGTGTAAGAGTAATAAATGAGTCCAATATCCAGTAACGTTTTCATGAGCTATTATAAACCTATTTGATTTCTTTGTGCTCGCCTCTTCATTGTGAGGTAAAGGTCCCTGGTCTTTGGTAAACTTCTGCGTAGTTCATCCTCGACTGTCGTAGCTTTGGTTGACTACAAAAGGAGTAGTGCTGGGATTAATTATATGTTGTTTGTAGTATGCCGTGTATTAAGACTTTGTTACTACTGTGAATAGAGTCGATGCAAAAGTTTCATCAATAAGAAGAAAATAATTAGTGGTTTGACTGGAAACGCGGAATTAATGGTTCAAATTGGAAAAGTGTGGTGTAATGATGTATTCTTCCCACCTTTACATACGGATATATTCCAAGAAACTTACGAGCTAGCTTGGTGAACACGGCTGCAATCCGAAAAGTTCTTCACACTACTGAGGGATGAAACTTCTGTTAGAAGATTAATAATTTCAAGGAGATTGTGAAGATCATTCAGATTATGCACGCACAAATTTTTGGCAGATATATATTCAAGCGAGATGCCCATTAAGTTTGACAGTGATTGCAGCAAGTAGTTCCAACGGCTTTCATTTTCTTTTGAGGCTAAAATGACATAAATTAACAACTTGTGCATACTTACGATCACTTTTGAAATCGCTAATACTCTGAAGTACGTATTCGAAGAATTCAATATTAATGTTTGAAATATCACTGATTACATCAAATCCCAGAAGGATCCCAATGCGGTTTGCGAAATACAAAATACTATCCTTCGATTTGTCGTAAACACCGAACATGTCTAAACATACTTAAATTACCTCAACTTTAAACGATAGGGTACTCATTAGGTTAAACAAATTTAGGTGGCAATATTGAATAAAATACTCAATCAGGTAATGAGAAGACAAAAGATAATTTGAGCAGAGAATATTCTTAACGACAATCGCCTCTTCCAGCTCACCAACTATATACACATTTAATTATATACACAGAATATTCTAGAGTAATCGTCATCAACAATATTGGAGTTTTCAAATACTATCGATATGTAGGGATAAATGAAATTACACTTCAAGAAAGATGCATGAGTGACAATAAGCATAACAGTGTGATAGCAAATAGAATATCACATAAAATTAAGGAAACGTCCACAACAAACTGAGGATCATTAAAGCCTTGATATCCAAGGTAATTAAAGCATCTGAACCAACTATTTTTCGATACATATATTGGGCTTCTTAGTTTAGATTCAGACAGCATCAGCAATATGTAATAGTCGAACTCTTGAGGTAAAATTAAGCTTAGTTGGTATATGATAGTTAACTTTGAAGTCCCAGTTAACACTGAACTTTTGTTCTACATCTATGGGATGAAACTGCATAAAGCTATGAATGGATTTTGTTAGTCCTTTACTTGACAGCGCTGGAAGATGTTCGGAAATCCGACGATAAACACGACCAAATATACGGCCTATGTAAGTGGCACGCTCCACAGGAGCAGTCAAATTGGTAGATACTCATAAAAGAGGTGAAATTAGATAGTTTATCTTTGACTCCTTAACTAAAAATAGGGGCGATCTTGAAGTCACAGTACACTCCAGTAGTACAGAATGCCCTTTCCACCTCATTCCTTAGACTTTGCGGTGATATACTAAATGAGGTTAAATTTTGCATCAAGATTTCGGCTATTACATGTTTGAATCTAAACTAAGAAGCCCAATATATGTATCGAAAAATAGTTGGTTCAGACGCTTTAATTACCTTGGATATCAAGGCTTTAATGATCCTCAGTTTGTTGTGGACGTTTCCTTAATTTTATGTGATATTCTATTTGCTATCACACTGTTATGCTTATTGTCACTCATGCATCTTTCTTGAAGTGTAATTTCATTTATCCCTACATATCGATAGTATTTGAAAACTCCATTATTGTTGATGACGATTATTATTATTATTATTGTATCCTTTAATTCCTAGAGGAACATAGGGCTTCAGCCGTGCGTCTCAATTGCGTTCGGTTCTCTGCTGGCCTCATCACCTGGCTCCATGTCTGCCCACACGTTTTCATCTCCTCTTCACATTACCTCCTCCAAGTCACCCTTGCACTGACGACCAACTCGCCGCTTCCCTTTCGGGTTCCACTCAAGGGCTTGTTTAGTGATGTCACTTGATGGTTTCCCCAGAGTATGGCCAATCCACCTCCATTTCTTCCTGCCTATTTGTTTCACTGTCGGTTCCTGCTGTGTTGGTTCGCTCATTGCCAGAGATCTCTGTTGCTGATCTTTTCTGGCCATTTGATCTTGAGTATTGAGCGAAGACAACTATTAATGAAGGTCTGTAGTTTGTTTGAAGTACCCTTCTGGACTCGCCAAGTCTCTGATCCGTATAGTGGCACTGAATTCACATTGGAGTTTAAAATCCGGATCTTATTTTTCATACTGAGTACTGTTGACCTCCACACAGACTTGAGAGTAATGAAAGCTTATCTTGCTTTTCCGATTCTTGCTTTGATATCCTCGTCAGTTCCGCCTGTAGTTGAAACGATGCTTCCAAGGTAGGTAAAAGAGGTTGTTTCTTTCAGGTTCCTCCCATTTATGCTGATTGTTGTCAGTTGTTGATGACGATTACTCTAGAATATTCTGTGTATATAATTAAATGTGTATATAGTTGGTGAGCTGGAAGAGGCGATTGTCGTAAAGAATATTCTCCGCGCAGAACTGTTTTCTTCTGAATTTATGTCATATGAATGAATCATTATCTTACTATTCTTTATAAGTTGGTAAGAACAGCTGTATTTGCCGTAAGATGTAATAGCTTCTGCTCACAGATGCTAACTTGAAATGGTTCGGAAGTGATGAAACGGTTAACTTCACTTTGGGCTATCTCTGAACTGTCAGTTAGGGGCCTTCATAAAGTAATGGCAAAAATGTTCCATGACTGTAAGACTTCATAAAAAGCTGACCCAGGCTAATCGTCCTATCATTTTTAAGCTCAGTAATTCCTTTGATGCTAGTAAGTTTACTAAATTTCAGGATCACTTAAGACTGCATAGCAGTTATAAGTCTATAACCATAGCTCAGGATAAAACACCGTGTCAGCGCAGAACAATGCGTAGTAATAATCTGGTCATCTCCTCTGAATTAAATCGTGTACAGCGACAGTCACCTAGTACTGACAGTAGCATTCAGTGAACTACACAACAACCACGCCTGCGAGTGGAACTAGGAACTGATTTAGGTATCAGTATCCCTGTGAATAAAGCCTCACTGAAAAATGTTAAAATAGCTGGAACTACAATTTTTTCTAGGAAATGTTTACCCAAACTTAGGAACCTCACCACGGTGAACAAATTTCGCTGGATTGACACTGATGGTGGGGAAGAATACTTTGTATTCAGTAAGCCTGCTGAGAGTAAGCGTGTCAACAAACTCCCACTTGATACGAAGGAATCCTCGCAAAACACAAGTATATTTGGTGGTTTACAGCATACTCCGCCTTATAAAAATTTAGGCCCCAAAACGTCAAAGTCTTGCAACCGAAGCGCCTTCCCCCACAATATTCTTGTGGTTGCAATAACAATACGAAGACGCGCATCAGTATGCCGAATAGCAGACTGATAGGTAGACCTTATGATGCCATGCCTTTTAATCCACAAGCCAGCCCCAACCTTTACTACCCGCATATCCATGAACACACAGTAAATGTTTTAGGTGTCCTGAATCACTGGTACAACCCATGGCACCTAGGACCACCTCATTGCAGTCTAACCCCGATATATGGACACCCAGTCCGACCCCCTTATCATCTATAAACTCCTACGGTGCTGACGCACAATTAGAATTAGGTTATGGTGATATTCTAAACCAGTTTGTAGTATCCCATGACTTATTCATGACGTTGCTAATTAATACACTTTCCTTAATCAACAACATATCTGAACTACGGACATTATTATTAATCACCAAGCCTACTGTAGCTCTGATAACTGAATCATGGTGATCATCCTCTATACTTGATGTGCATATAAGTATAGATGATTACATTGTACACCATGCAAATAGAGATTGCAGGAGTTGTGGAGTATGTCTCATATATTTTTTTTATTTTTGATCACATCTTGATGCCACACCGTATTTTCAGTACAAGTATGGAATTTTCAGCATGGATATCGGTAGCCCAAATTCAGGCCGACCATAGATATCGGGTGTGCGTCGGCAGGGGATCGAGAGTGTGCGTCGGTGGCACAGTGGTTAGGACTCTCGCAGACCATGCACATGGTCCGGGCTTCGATCCCCTGCCGGCGCACACCCGATATCTATGGTCGGCCTGAATTTGGGCTACCGATATCCATGCTGAAAATTCCATACTTGTACTGAAAATACGGTGTGGAATCAAGCTGTAAATGAAAATAAATAAAATAAAAATAACCACTGTACCACCGACGCACACATAACTAATTCGTAGTCATTATGGTGGAAGATGAAATATTGAATGAGGTACCTGATTCACTCTGCGTCGTCTTACATTGAGATAAGTGCAAACTTCACATAGACTGTTTTTATCGGGCACTATGCTCAACAAAAGAAACTGATGCGTCGTTAGCTAAATCGTTTGCACACGCCTCCTCGTTAAGTAATAATTACAAGATAATTGCAGGGGACTTCAATCTTCCAGAAGTCAATTGGTTAAGTAGTTCCGGCCCCCAACGCTTCGACGGATTACCTGCCACTATCGATTGTTACAGATGGCAACAACAGGTCCAGACACCTGCCCGTGGTGCCAACATGTTGGACCTTGTGTTTTGTCATGACAGTCTCTACCTATGTTGGTAGCAGATTTTCTAGCAGTGACCAAAGAATAGTACTCTGCTCTGTCTTTCTCACCCCTAAATACAGGGAACAAACAAGATTCAGGGAGCATGATATGTCGTAGTTACAAACATACAGACTGGGGATTAGTCCAAGAACTCATTCAACTCTGTTAATGGGGTGACTATTTTACCACTGACTCCCCTATTACTGCTTAAATTCTTCTCAATATATGTGGACACTGGCACTTACCCTAATGAGTGGAAAACTAGCTTCATAATTCCACACTATAAATCCAGTGATAAGGCAAACGTCCGCAATTACAGACCTATAAATATAACCCCAGTTGTCTCGCGAGTCATGGAGAAAGTTGTCAAAGATCAATTGTCAGACTATCTACTTAAGGAAGATCTTGTTACAAGGTCTCAACACGGATTTCTCAAAAATAGGTCTTGCGTTACTTGCCACTTCCACTTTTAAAAGGCATCACTAGTAGTCGCGAAGCACATGAGCTAGTCGTTGTTCTCTACTTCGATATATCTAGGGCATTTTACATGGTATGTCACAGTATTCTCTTTGAGAAGCTGTACTCATGTGGAATTCGCAATCCATTTCTGAGCTGGTTAAAATCATTTCTAAGCTTAAGGGTACGAATAGCCAAAGCAGGGTCAGTATTGTATCATCCTAGGCAGATCACAAGTTGGGTTGTGCAAGGTAGTGTCGTAGGACCACTTTTATTTACGGTCTACATTAACAGCATTTGTAACAACTTCACCCCAGGTAATCCATTCCTACATGCTGACGACCTCAAAGTCGTTTACTACTGCCACAATTATGAATTAAATGATATGGTAAGTAAAATACTTCTTGAACTAAGTGGTCTGGCAATATGGTGTACTGAATCCTGTCTAAAGTTTAACATTGACAAGTGCGGCTGGATTTTCATCGGTAACAGTAACCTTGACCTAACTCTTGAATTAAACAGGCGAAAACTGGCCAAGCTCAGCTCAGTCACGGATCTCAGTACCAGAT